GTGGTGTGGGGCGCCCAGCGGGCTGGGGGTGAGCGCCCGCCCCTGACGGTGTGGTGGGTTAAACCAGAGTTCTCCACGCTCTCCAAGACTTTTTCCCCTCCAAACAAAACAGAGGAATTGACATAAAAGGGAGGGGCGCTCTGAGGGCAGAGCCTGCTGGGGTGTGGGCCCCTGGCCAGGCCTCCTGCGGCCACCTGGGGAGACGCGGGTGGGCCTGGGAGAGAGGGGTAGGTCTCACCAAATCCCTGCGACTTGGGCTCTGACAGCAAGTGGGTGTCACCCAAAACAAGAGCGAAAATCAGAAAGAAAGGAAACTCACCACTCTAGAAGAGTAAGAGTGGATAAAGATAAAGTTTTGCCCATAGGAATGGTGTTCAACTGGGAAATTGGGGAACAACTTAGATGTCCCAAACTGGGGGCTGATTATGTAACTACCTGGTGGCTCAAGGAGTAAGCTGAGCACTGTGAAGCTGTCCGCAGCCGCTGCGGCCCGAGTTCCACCCCCCGGCCAGGGAGTGACTGCACAGAGCAGCAGACCTCTCCTGACCCCCTGCTGCCCCCTCAGCAGTGGACTTCGTCCATCTGCCTGTCCTGCTCCCCGCTCTGCCTCAGGTGAAGCCTCTCCCCGCCCCTGCTCCTCTGGCCTGCACCCCAGTTCTGTATGCATAGATAGGTACGTCCTTTAAAAAATAAAAAAGCAGTTAACAAACCCAATTTTGCAAATAAAAAGCATGTGAAAAAAGGCAAACTGCAAATCCCTGTCTCTGAGTGATGGCCTTTGGGGGCGTTTCACAGCCTGTTTTTTCTTTACTTGAATTGTCTACAAAAGTTCTTTCTCTAATTGCTAAGTTTGTTGCTCTTAAAAAAAAAAAAAAAACCTTTTGTCTTTCAGTCACTTCACAACCAAGCTGGCCCAGCCCATCACCTCACCCCTTCCGAGTCTTCTGGGTCTAGGAAAAAGACTCCTTCCAGAAGGTTCTTCCAGGGCCCTTGTCAGGGCCCTTGCCAGCTCCTTGACCTGAGCCTGGGGACAGCTGTTGGGGCCACGTACCTGTGTCCAATCTCGTGGGCAATGGTGACCCCCAGGTCGAAGCCAGTATCCTCAGTGATGAGGCAGCTCCAGGAGAGGGAGCAGGCGCCCCCCAGCTGGGTGACTCCCCGAACCTGCCGGTTCCCGTCAGGCAGCTCAAGGTCGAACCTTGGGGAGAGAGAGTGGTGTGGCGGGCAGCGCCCAGACGGCGGCCCCAGCCCCTGGCGGGCTGCTACCTGGTAATGTAGAGGACCAGGTCGGCGTGCCCAGGGTCCGAGTCCTCCGGGGGGTTGACCTTCCTGCCCCACTCGCAGACACGCCGCAGGGACGCCGTGATGTTGGCTGTGATGTTCGGAGCGCTCTGGGGGACGGCGTCGGCACTTAGGGCCGCCCCGGGGTGCCTGCTGCTGCAGAGCCGGGACCGGCGCCAGCCCACGCTGCCTGGTGGCATCCCCAGGAGGGACGGACGAGAACGGAAAGCGTGGCGCAGGCCTACCTGGGCCTCCGTCAGGATGACCATCTTCACCAGGTGCACCCGGAGCTGAGCCCCCAGGGACGGGTCCCTCAGCAGCTCCGACCCCTGTTGGGGGTGGTGACATATGGGTGAGTGTAGCCGGCCCTCAGCAGAGAGGGGCTGGAGAGGGCTTCGTCAGCGGGGGGGGCGGAGGGGGCCCCCTTCTACCCCAGAAGCCAAAAGAAGGGGAGGCCGCAGTGGTGGGGATGCCCCCAAGAGGGACCCAGGGATGCCCGTGTGGAGTGAGCCTTGGGGCTGGGGGCTGCTGGCAGCGCTGGCTGAGGTGCCCATGCGTCAAAGGGGTGCCAGGGCAGAGGCCAGGCATGTGGGACCCCAAGGACCCAAGTGGCTAGAGGCTATGGGATGGCGGGAAGAGACAGGAAGGGTCCCCAGACCTCACACCAGGTGAGAATGGGTGGGGGAGAATAAGCCCAAACCGACCTCTTCCCACTCACTCCTGTGCCCCTGAAACCCAGCACAAGCCGGCTCCAGTCTAGCACAGGGACTCCGACTCCCGCGCCCTCGGGCCTCACCACGTGCAGGTTGGCAAGCACATAGCGCTCGGTGTCCTCCCCGTGAGCCAGGAACACGTCGGGGCCCGCGGCCACCAGCAGCTCCAGGTGCAGGATGCTCCCCGCAGCCCGCCTCTGTCTCCAGACGCCACGTGGGGGCCGAGGAGGGCAGCCAGGCCCAGCAGGTGGCAGCTGTGCCAGCGAAGGTTCTGGAAGGTGCGTGAAAGGTGGCTTTGATGGTCCATTCAGCTGTCCCAGGGCCCTCACTGCCAGGCCTCTGCGTCACTCTGTGCCCCGGGCTTGGAGGCATGGTGGGTGGGGGCTGGGTGAGGGCCCCAGCTCAGCTGCTTGGCACCAGGAGTTCCAGGAGTGGGTGGCCCCCACCCTCAGCTCTCTGATGAGGAAATGGGGAGCGTGAAATACCTGCAGGTGGGGTCGAGGGCTGCCTAAATGGGCCTGCAGGGTCTGTGGCCTCGAGCTGTCTTTTCCTCTGGCTATAGCTGTGCCTTGAACACCCTCATCAAAGCCTCCCCCTCCACAACCCCCCTCCCCTCAGTGCCACCACCGCCACCGCCACCGCATCACTCTCGCTCGGCCCTGGCCCTCTAGCTCCACCCCTATTACTCTAGCTCCACCCTATCACTCTAGCTCCGCCCCATCACTCTAGCCCTGCCCCATATCACTCTAGCTCCACCCTATCACTCTAGCCCTGCCCCATATCACTCTAGCTCCGCCCTATCACTCTAGCTCTGCCCTATCACTCTAGCTCCCCCATCACTCTAGCCCCGCCCCATATCACTCTAGCCCCGCCCTATCACTCTAGCTCCACCCCTATCACCCTAGCCCCGCCCCATATCACTCTAGCTCCGCCCTATCACTCTAGCTCCACCCC